TTTTTGTATATATAAATTCGTTACTAAGGAAGTAAAGAATTTTTTTTTTTTTTTGTATGTTTTTTTTTTAAATAAATAGTCCTCTAAATAGCTTTTTTTCACTATCAAAGATGTGTATATGTAAATAGATATACACATAATTTTGCCTTGCCATTAATCGTAGGATAATGTGAATGAGTAAAAGGAAGGAGGTATAAAAAGAAAATCTGAAAAATAAATATAAGTGCAAAAAAAAGATATGAAACAAGAAAGGTCTATTTACCGAATGCGAAGAAAAAAAAACCTTATATGGAAACAAGCATAAAAAAGCTAATCTATCAAAGGAAAAAAAAATACACAGAGGACAAATAAGACTATTAAAAAGTTCTCCATTTCACAAAATTCCAGTCCATAATTTTCTTTTCGACTTTATACCATACTTAGATCGTCATATTCTTCATCCTCTTCCGAAATATCATTTATGTGGGAAATAGATAAGGGCAACCTTCGACTTGCGTATGGTCCTGTACTACTATTAGTTGAAAAATCCATACTTATTATATATTTTCTGGATGGATTTGTGTATTCGTATTCATAGGATTCATCGATCTCTTCGTCCTCTTCGTCGTCGTCTTCTTCCATATATTCATAATGTGCTGTATACTTCCTTGTTTCAAAATCTTTAAACCCATCTTCGGCCGAGTCACCACTTCGAGTTGAGAAGTCACCCAAGTCTTTTTTATCTATGATAGGATCACCCTTTAATTTGCTGATGATCTTATCAATTCCGATGGCTCGTGATTTTACACAGTTGTTAGCGTGCTAGAAAAATAACGTGACGTGATTGAGTATCAGACTAAATGGTGAAATGTAGTAAGCATAAAAAAGATGCATACACCATTTTGCGCTCTCTTCAATGTCTCCGACGTTTACACGACACACACAAATCAATTCACCTAATAAACTTTGGAAAATACATGTCGACAGTTATCTCCATATCCATGCTCTATTTTTACCGGAAAGGTAATTTCGGAATTTGTTGATATTCGTTCTTGATATTTTTCATGAATTCTAAAGAAACTCGATTAACCAATAAACAATCATGACATGTATCTTAGATATCTCATCTGCAAATATCCAAATCACCAAAATTATATGGGCTCTCTGTCAAAGTGTCAATTCGATTTATACGATTTTATGGGATGTTAAAATGGACTGGAGGTTATTTCA